TCAGTTTAAAATAGGTGTGGTGCACTAGAAGCAAATTTGGCTTTTTTATGTCAGTTCCCCTTCAATCAAAGTTCTGTGCGCTGTCCTGGATGAAATTGTTTTTTTATTATTACTAAATCCAGGATGTATTTGTACCGTTGATTCTACATAGCTCTGATGAACCTTTACTGTGACATTTGGCGCTTCAGCACTTCTCCCAGCCAGGTCTTAGGCTCAAAAAGTTTTGATGTTTAGAGAAATATGAAGACAAACATTCATGTATGGTTTTTGGAAGACTTGTTCTACATCGATACACTTATCCGACAGATGCTGAAGAAATTCGCCTTTTGTCGTTGATCACTTAGCCAAATTCCACTGGTTTGGCTTTGGTTGAAAATATTTAATGTGTATTACGTCGTTCTAGGGCATTATGCTTGTTCGCAAGCCGGTGTTAAATATATATGTATATACTAGGGAATCTTTCTTAAATAAGTGACTGAATACTTTAGTTTTGTAGGCATGTTTACCGTGTTTTTTTTCTTTACGGTCAGTTGTAGACACCGGTTTCCATTTATATTTCTATGGTTTCAGACTTCAATCGAATACCGATGACATTAGAGTTAAATGATTATCTCTAGGCGTTGAATGATCAGAACAGCTAATTTTTTTGCGTTTGTATTGCAGCAGCCATTCGCAAGGCGATGGATTCGGTTAGCTGAAAGGAATGGTTGGATCATCGTTGTGTGAAAAAAAAATGATAATCGTCAGAAACAACGCTGAACAACTATCCTATCCAAACGGATGCTAGTGAACTGAATAGACAGAAACGTTTGATTTTACCGTTGTTGACGGAAACTAAAATATGAAGCCCTAAAACACACATCTCACTATGCACTGAGATTCGTTGAAAAGCAATAATTCAAAAGTGATGAGCAGCCTACGCACAGCAGCGTATGGTTCATGGTTGTGAAAGCCGCAGGTGAAACTGACTGATGCGACATTATGTATAAAAGATCAAATGCATAAACTTCATCTGACATTAAAGCCGTCTACATTTTTTGTTACTGTTTGCATGTTAAGTGACATCTATTTCATCAAAGGAAAAGTGATTGATGCATCCAGATATGTGCTCTACACTACCCAATGACCGGGTACTGGTACCAAACTGATTGACATCCGTAGTTACACTCAACTTTGTAGTCAAAAACTCAATATTCTCAAATGCCTCACGGAACTCATGTATGTTTGATAACTTTTGGAGCTGGTTTTGCAATGAATATCACATCACAATGGCTGTCATCTACCTACAACACTGTTTAAGTCAACACGATATCCGGAATTTCATCGAGGGAAGAACGTGGCTCGCTGTGGTTTGCAGCTTTTGGTTTACGACTGAAAGGATTCATCCTTCTGCACTAAAACTGCAAAGTCAAAGTTTTAATATGGGAAATACTCCCAAGCGGTTGCTTTTCTTGTCCCATAGGGTTTGGCACAAATGAATCGACTTACGGATCGCATAAACATGAATTATCACAAATTTTCTTTGTTTTGTGTCGTAATCTAAGAGTTTTCAATCTTCAATCTCGTTTTTGCTTGAAAGAATCAATTGTGGGCGCAGAAACAACTTGAGTTTGTAGATAATCCCAAATACTACACATTCTGAAAGCAAATGAATGACGCCGGTACTCTAGTCAACATTTTTGGAACACAAATGAGTGCTCCTGAAGTGAGTGTTGGGCGACAAGACGAATAGTGAACGATGTGGGTGGTCAGGTTTTTGCATTAACGGATACATCGCAATCAAGTCTCCTCGAATCCGGCGATGTTGTGTGGAGTGCAACCCCAATGATTCCAGTCTTTTCACTTAAGTCTTGGAATACAATCCCTTGACCAATTTGGTTTTCATGTTTGTTGACGTTCCAGAATTTTACGATCTCGCTGCTGCCATGGATTCCACACTATGTGGGGTCGAATGCAGACGGATAACAACCGTGGGAACAGCGTAGGTCCAAAGCTACCAAATACTCGCTTTAGCAAACCAACATGTCTTACAGCGATGAATCACACCCTGGAGCAGTTTAAAGAACAACTTAGGTCATCTTGAACGATGACACCAAGATCCTGCTCATTCGAGAAATACGGAAGTTATTGACGTCCCAGGAAGTAAGGAAACCGAGTTTTGTGGCGAAGGGATACCACCGTACATTTTGATGCATTGAATTCGATGTCGTTTTCGATCGGCCATTGATAAGCAGCATTAAGTATTCTGAAATCCCAGCGAGTCCCCGGTTTTTGTCACTGTTTTTCATATTGTTACATCGTCTGCAAACATTAACATTTGTTGCCCCAGAATGTTCGTTAGATAATTTATGAAAACTAGGAAAGGTTGAGGGCCAAGCATGGACCCCGGTGGAACTCCTCGGGCTACATTGATAGAATCAGCAAGTGACCCCGAACTACCATGGTGCGTTGCGAATAAGTCCTTCCATTCAACGCGGTACAAGTACCCGACTTCTATAATTGCGTAGTTTCCTCAGCAGTATTTCGTATTTTCCTCGGTCGAATGTTTTGAGTAAGTCCAATTACACTGCATCCATTGCATCACCGTGGTCAACTGCTCTTGTCCACTCCTCTGACCAGAAGCAGGTTAGTGGTAAATGATCGCCTGCCATGTTGCACCGGGTATAACACATTGTATTTTTCCAAGTGACTCATCACACTGTCTGCAACAATGGATTCCATGACTTTGGGGAGGAGAGTAACTGAGCGATAGTTATCCACCTTTGCGTATTTGTGAAATTATTCCTTGTTTCCATGTTTGTGTGAGCACTGTTTTGTCGGACACATTGAAATAGTTCACTTAATTTAGTTATAACCATTCTGTATTCCATCAATAATGTCTTCGGGTTATACCTGGCACCTAGTGTTATCATCTGTTAGTCAATTGCACAGTTACTCATCAAATTTGTGGTGCTTATAAGCGCTAGTTGGCCAAGTGAATCCCTTTATACTACATTTAGATGCTTGGTCATCTATTCTTTCATATTCTCTTTGCATTTGCTGGATCAGGCTGGAAGAAGCGACGCGATAGTCAGACCACAACTTGGCGTACGGGTATGAATATATGCTCTTTGGAAACGGCTATGGCGGAAAGCACAGAAATACACTACTGTTTTTGTTTTCTCTTGGGTTCCTCCAACTTGACTAACTCAGCCCTTTTCATTTTGTCTTTTTGTGCGTTGACACAATCATTATTCCCGAAAACGAAGCAGTTACGTACATCTGGAAAATTTAAAATGCTTGGGGGAAGGACTAAACTAGAAACGTGTCTTGGGTGATAGGTGTACCTATGAAAAAGCTAATTTCTGGGATGAGCACGAATTAACCTCAGTCTTAGATAACTAGTAGGGAAATTGCGGTATACTTGTGTAAGAGAACAGCTTTGTGACTCACCACTTCATAAAACATATAGCATTCAGGTTGGTGGTTGGAATCAATTTGCGATGGAACTTCTCAATAATTTTCACAAGGAAAAGCACGTATTCCACACAGTTACTTGTGAGAAGTTGTGAGTTGAAAACGAAGAATGAAGCCAGCCCAGTAGGTAGGTTTATTTGGGGATGAATGCGTGATCTAGCAAGAAGGACCTGATCTGGTTTGTGAGCTTTAGCTAGAGGTAATATGTCACAAACTGTATCCCCCTTCAAAAAAGTTAGGATAAAAGAAATACTCGACTGTCAGTGAGGATAACATCGAAGCTGACTTGAATTTATAATTCTGGTCAGTCTGGGTGTAATGTGATTGTTAGGGTGGAAAAAACACCCCCTCGAAGTTGCTATCGGGCTTAAATTCCGTACAGGATGGTGAACATGCACAACCGATGAACTCTAATGGTGGTGAAACTGTAGTGCTCCTTCAGTGTGTGTGTGTGTGGTTCATTGGAAGAATTGGCTATTGTCCGTAAATATTGGGTTTAACAGATGATCAGTTGCAGTGATAAACATTTATAATACACCACTGTTTACTTGTAGTTATGCAATGAAAATAAAACCATACTGTTTCGCTTTTGCCGTGCGATTTGAAGTTGAAGTGTGGTTTGAAGCATTTCTTTCCTCTTTTTCATGTACAGGGACCACCTCTGCGTATGAAGGTGACATCATCAATCTCAATTCAGGAGACATGTATGGATGATCTTCGAGAACCGTGCCAGGTAAAAGAGAACAGCCCAGTAAATTTTAAAGATCCATCATGTGACGAGATATCACTCGTCGTCATCTGCAAATGCCTTTTAGTACCTCAAAACTGTTTTAAAATACCGGTTACTATGAATAAATCACATGAAACTATCAGGAAATTTCTTGATTGCCGATCGACTTTAGTGTGGTTCTGTCAAGATGAAATCGTTCTTTTCACACAGCTAATTTTGAATTGACCACGTGTCTACTGAAATATATTTCAATAGCATAAATTTACTTCCGCAATAATTCGTTCATTGTTCAAACTAAATTTTGTTTTCCGCACCACTTTCAATAATCACGGGTGAGAGGGACGAGACGATCGAAAACGATGGAGCAATCGCACTGTATTTACTGATTGTAGTGAAGAGCGCTGGTAGTAGTCATGCTGTAAAGATCGTCAATTTATCACCCGTTCGTTCTATGACCTGCAAGATTTACGAAAATAAACACATTCACTTACGTAAGCCAGTTTCCTGTCTTTAATTTATTTGGATTACATTAATTAGCGTTATTTTATTTTAACCCAAGGACTTCAGTCGCATCGCCCGCACATGTCACAGCCCACATGAAACCAGCACCGAACAGTTTAGAGCGAATATTTTGAGCAAACAGAAGAGAAATCATTCCCCGCAAGATTGCCGGTGTGTTTCCTCGACGGCGTTTGCTCCCCTAAGAGCTGTGACACCTTGTGAAGTGAAAGGAGTCCCAAATCTGAGTCCTATTTTACCACGCTGCAGCGTAACACATGAATCACGACGACTCAGATCATTAGTTTGTCAATCAATGAACACCGAAAATCCGCATCTGAATTTATCAGGACTACCGGGTTCGATCGATCTGGCAATTCCAGGGACCTGCTCGACTCCGATTATGGATCAGAATTGTGACCGTCTATCTCAGTGGGCCAAACGGCAAAACGAATTGAACGCTTTGAATGGCTTGTTACACCGAGTTTGGCATTTGTTCTATCCTCGTGTACATTCAGAGTGTCCTTGGAATTCACGTACCGATGAACCATGTGATTTAATCAGTCCACTGGCAGACAGTAACGTGGCCGCTTCTATTTCCGGGAAGGGTCATCATCTACGTGAATCACAATCAACTTGGTGTCGATGTGGTGACTGTCAAGCTCAGAGCGTGGGGGAAACTTTCGAGTTGAAAGATCATCCGGATGTACGAACAGCGAGCACATCGACCAAACTGGTCGAATTGATCCAGGTTGATGAGCTGTCGCCTCCAGTGATTACCTTGTCCGAGGCAGTGATCAGTTACCGGGACCCGGTGGAACAGTATCGAATCGAGACAGTTAGTCCTCCATCTGTACACGAGAAGTATCAATCCATCACCAAATCCGTGCTCGAATATAGCTCGGTGAATTCTAAAAATTCACTTATGCAAAGTAGATCAAACATCAGTTTGGAAAAAAGCTACTCTCGGGGTTCAGAAAACACGCTAAATTTAACGCTTGCCGATCCTACTCAGATGTCAGTGCAACGCATGCTTGATATAGGCTCACGAATATCTACCATCTCACCTTCCACAGGAGTAATGAAAATAATAGATAACCCTTCCATGGATACAAAATCTTTGCAATCCCCACAATCGGAAATCTTAAACGCATACACACCCCCATCGATACCAACAAGACAATCATTAGTTATATTTCCTTCATCAGTGCTATCATCCCCAAAGATAGCCATAACAACAGAAGCATCAACAGTACCACAGCTTTCGGCAGAACTACTGAGTGATCACGCCAGTATCGATACGCATGTAAACGCAATACCAAAATCCCGTAATTCAGCCTCAAAGGGATCGGATGAAGCGTCGTCTGAAAGCCGATTAGATGAAATCCTCACAAAACAGTCCACTGTAAGCTTTCGATCGGAGAGAGCAGAGGATCACACAAACGGGGCATCAAACATTGATTTTCTGGCGGAAACCATATCCCAAAGAAAAAATTGGAGTCCTTTTATGAATACTTCCTCAACACTGCCTACACCGGCATTGTCTACTGTTAAGAATAGTTTGTCTAAAGCACAAACCACTTCAGTTGAATTGCCTGGACCAGACTCACTCATTCATGTGGTACCTAGCACTTCTGAACGTCTATTATCCGAAATGGATTACAACAAAACGAATACAGATTGGACTTATATGCCTCAAATTAAGACGACAACTACTGTCAGTTTGGATTTCGAATGGAAGAGTTCACCTGAAGGTTTGCCACCGAAAGCTCCCAGTCGAAGACGATCTGTGTCAAATTTCAGTCAAGCTCTAAGTCAGAGAGTTGAGTCACAACCACCACAACGTTCCGTGTCGCCATCGGATCATGTTTTGATCGATACCACAAATGAGGCACCAATAACGTCGTGGTCATCACCAACTTTTCCATTTTCGCTGCCATTACCACCTACATTAACACCACCGTCCCTACCGTCGCCACCTTCAGAGCCTATTCTTATCCAATCTGGTCATCAAGCCTCTCGATTCTCTTCGCATTCACTTGATTTTCCCAAAACCTTTGACAACACTTTCAGCACTTCGGAAGTGAATATNGAATATATTTGACAGGTCTGCCAAACTGCCACCGGCTGCTGAAATCGGACAAAACAGTCAGACAATTTCTGTCGAACGAAAAATGGCGGTTCCCAAATTATCGGAAAAGTTTAATGTGCCGACAAAACCGATCGATCGGTCCCCTTCCAAATCCACTCCATTGCGAGATAACAGATCAGTATCTATTCCATCCACTTCCGTTCTCGTGTACGACAGTGACGAGCAACAAAGAACTGAATCTCCTGGTTCTGAATTAGCTGCCCAGAGCACACAACTGAAATCCATCAAACCAAAACGGGCGATCCGTAAATCTGCTGAAAAAACGAACAAACAAACGAGACGTGCGAAAAGTCACTCTCCGGAATTTCGGCAATCAATCCATACACAGTCGGCACAGCCCACGTCGCAAAACGTGTCCCGCATCACTACCCGCCGTTCGCGATCAGGTTGTGTTCGAACTCAGAGCAATTGTCGTCCGAAACGTCGAACAGTAATTGTACGAGAAAAGTTTCGACCGTACCTTTTGGATCTTCTTGTCCCGTGTGGACTTATCGTCCCACCCTATGCGGACACCGTAAGCCAATTGTGTGTTCAGTCCGATAGAATTTTCATGTATGTTGTTCACCTATTCAGTTGATCAGTTGAGTTATTCACACCTCATTGTTGATTCTTTTCGTCCTGCTGTTATTCTGAACACAATTCGGTTTCGTTCAATCACATACGCATTCACATGTTACTGTTCCTGTTCCTGCTGTTGTTGTTTTCCTTGTAGGAATCTCCGGAAAGCTTACCGGCATGCCAGTAAGTCCGTTGTCGTTCTCATCTATCAATCTTGTGTTTGCTCTCAATTGCAAATGGGTAACTCATTCAGAGGTAGAGTAGGCTGGCCGGGGCGAATGCCTTATTTCAATCCGGCATAATACCGAAAAATATTCACGTAGCATATGGCAAGCAAACGACAAGTATCGCCGGTGAGTTCATGGATCTGAGGTGGAACAAGAAAAAACACTTGCCTGCAAAGACCTGGGTTTCTGTGTTCGCAATAGTGCGG